CCAAACCATGAGTGGGCTTTAACCCGCTATTCTTCGAAATATTTTCAGATATGGTGCACCGGGCGCTGCGCAATCACGGGCCATGCTTTTGGCCGGTATGTGGCAAGCTGATGATTTATGTTGACGGTGACCTGATTTCCGTTTAATTCCGTTCTCCGCCGACTCGTTCGTTTCCTTTGCATGAAGGTGTTTCTTGGTACACACGCGTTGCATTGAGTCTGTTTTGTACACCAAACTGAAGTCCACCCGGATCAACTAATTTATATCTGTCCTTGTTTTAACATGCACCAGTAACAGTCTAAAGTTTTCCGCGTTGTGGTGCACTAACTCTTCCTATTTCTTTTGATGCCCTGTTTACCTTCCCAAATGGTCACCATTTAAATGCCATGCGGTCTTATTCAGGGTTCGGATTCGCACACTAGATTTACACCACTGCTGTATGATAGCCGCAAGTCAGGTAAACGTTGAATTGTGTTCCGTTTGGCAAGACTTGCGGAGTTGATAATGAAACCATTCAACCGTTGGAGGCACGCACAGCATCTAAACGTGTCAATCAGCGAATGGCAGTACATATTAGGCTGTTTCTATTGCTTCAAATTGTTGCTCAGAGAAAACCGGAGAAAATCGATAGATCATGGCTACGAAGGAACACCAACCGCGGAGGGACGCGGCGGCAGCCGCGCCAAATAAACTGGCGTCGGCGATCAACAGGGTGGTGATGCACATCGTCGCGGCCACCCAGGGTGCCCCTCAAATGATGCTAACGGATCGGGGGCCTTGCGCTGAGAGCGAAGGTTCAGAGGTGGCTTGCAGGGGCTGGGTATCAGATGGCTAATGATGACACCCTACCGACCACAAACAAACGGTTCAACAAAAAGCGATGATCAAACGATCGGGGGGTGACTGGCATCCAAAGCAGGTGACTGGGAGGTGAACTTGCCGGTGGTGATGTTGGTGTATCGTGCTCTGATGTAGCCGACTGCCGGCACGTCCATTGCGCTGATGTATGTTTGACATCCACGCTTTTAGCCGATCGGGAAACTGGGTCGTGGCCGACAACACGGTTGTCTCCGGACAAGCAAGGAGAGGAAGCAAGGAAACATCAAGAAAGCGGCGTGACCGCCGTTTAGGAAAGGACTCCACAGAAAAGGACAAGCAGAAGGACACAACCATTCTCCAAAAGCGCGAAGGTCAATTTGAAGCATCCTTAGAATCCTTCAGGAGTCGACTGGGGTCGTGAAAGCTGTGTAGTTAATGGCAAGCCCCGTTTGCCTGAGACAGATAACCTAGGTTACGTCTGCACAGTTCAGTACTGCCGAAAATCAAAAGGAATAGACGGTGCTAAGCTTCGGAATTGGGATGATACATCCGAGAATCTACCGAACAGACCACTTACTAGGGCCTACTAGAAGGAGCTGAAAAGAAAGAAGTGGCGCACGCGTGACCTCTGAACAGGAAAAGCTCGCGCCGGCAGATACTACTAATGAGGCATGCGAGTTGACTGCTTGCTGTTCGAAGCTCCGCCCTGTGTCCGATGGAAGATGAAGTTGATTATGGAATTTGTGGAACCACTTTACGGCGCATATTTACCGTTGCGTATTAGCAGAGTTCAAGAAGGCCCGTGACAATTTTCAGCCGTTAAGACTATGTGCATCTGAGATGTTCACGTTCCTGTCCACTAGTTTACAACCGCCAATTTGGTGCCGGCTGATGGGCGGATTCGCGGAGATGGGCTTTCTCCGTACACTAGTGATATTGTTATTCATCTCTACGGTAACGTGCCCTATGACGGTGACCATTGATGCTTACGTTCGCTCGTTACACCATTTGGATCACGAAGAATCATACAAAACCTGGTCTGTCAGCTACTTGATGTATAGATAAAAAGATAGACGGCAATCATAGTGACTTTTGGAAAGTATATTAGAAAGATTCGTGGAATGCGTCCAAAGCATAAGGTACCCTTCACTGCCTCACTCGCGGTGCATAGCTGTATCTGCCTTCGTCAGGGCAGAGATTACACCGCACCAAAGCCAATTTCGTCAACCAGATAAAGAACACATCTACCTGCCGCATCCAGCGGTAGACACAATTCCTCATTGCTATGTACTACTTACAGACTTAAGCTGATAGCAGTACTTCGAAGACTGGTGCCTATTTCTCTTGCACATACTTACTCTCCAGGTACTGCCAAACTCATGTAATAAACACCAGAATAACAAGTTATCTTAGAAATTCACTCTCGCCAGCCCTTATACATCTGATTTCCACACCACCATCCTGTGCGCTTATATCGGCTTTTACTAGGTCTCTTGTAATGTAATATCGTGTGTTAGCAAACCCAACCCCTGGTCGCTAGTCTAGTAAAGACAAATACATCCGTTTTCAATTCCATATCCTCACTTATTATCACCCTAATTGCGGCAGCCTCCAAGTTTTTCTTTCTGTGTTTATTAATGCATAGTGTCCTATTTGATGTCTCCTCAAACTCACCATGTTTTACAAATGTCACCCCATCCGCTCATCTCCCCTAGCTTTGAACTTCGGCAGTACCCTATTTGGACGGCCCGGTTAGCTGATATCCACTCCAACTGGCCTATGATCTACAACCACGGGATCCCCAAACGGACCAAGAAAACCTGCGATCCCATATCGACTTCATCCCGGCTTGTTCCCTCGGCCAGCCTGAAATGAATCCCGTTGCCCAGTGAACTTTACACCCCGGCCGAATCACCTTAAATGTGACGACCTTTACGAGGCTGTCCAAAAACTGAAGCATTACAGACCAATAGTGGCATAGCACAGCCACACCCAGTTTGATAGCACACCCGCAACTGTCCCATTCCTCCCCCCGACCATGCCCTCTTGCCCACTAGTTCCATTGACTACAAATACAACAAACTCTCCACCTGACTAAACTGCTTCCGTGGTATATTCACTCCAACCTGTTGGACTACTCGTTCGAATTTAACCATATATGTGTTTCTGTGTCCCCACGTCCCCATCCAACCTAACCCTTGCAACGGAGACCCATATAAAAGTGCAGCCAAAGAGTCTGCTTATTTTCAGATTGCACCATATTTTTGAGACAACACATGCCATGTTCTCCCAATTCGAGTTAGCCCACCTCTGCCTCCGCTTTTGTTCGTTGAGACCCCGGCCATTTACCCAACCACTCAAAGTCACTCGTGACCAGCAATGGTTTTTCAGTCTTAGTTCGTGTCAATCGGCTGAGTCTTTGAATTGGTCGGACCTCATACCCATTGTTCCCTACAAGTCATGAGAGAAATCTATTATCATTATTTAATTGGAATACTTCGCACTTTTTTGACATTGCCTTCTTTTCGCGCAATCCCAACTACCCGCAAATCCTCCACTTATGCTCCATTCTGACTCTAAACGTATGATCATGCCAGACGGTATGCCACCCACAAGCTGGGAATAAAAACTATTTATCTTAAGCCTTGTCAATGTACATCCGGCTGCGTTGAACCCTGGGTTAAACTACGGCCGCTCAAATCGTGAACCCAATCACCATATTATCTTGAATGAATCACCTTTACATATGAAAAATAGCCAAAGTAATATATTTCTGGTCCGAACAGCGTTCACCCGGAATTCTTCAAAGAATGTGCCGACGTGCTGCTTCGATGCTAAATTCAGTTCGACTCCCTCTCTACATGTGGTTTGACCCTTCGTCTAGAGATGTTCGACTATACAAATAACCCACGACGTTGTGTATTGTGTCGGTCGAATAATTGTCGTTCTGGTAAAATAACATTAACCTAGAACAGACCCACCGCGAAAATCGTGATTATATCCCTGTGCACTTGCATAATTACATATAAATCGCTAATCCGCCTCAGCAGATTTTACTTGCTCCGGCGCCACAAAACCTACAATCCCTAAGCTCCCCCATTATCCCACCCTGACCGTTGAGAACAAGACTTGCTCTAGGTGTATCTGCTTCAACTTCTCCCATGCTTCTTGCGAAACAGCTAGGCTCCGAGTCCATGGACGGGAACACCTCTGAGTTAGCGGATAACCATGTAGTCAGCCTTCTGGTTCCAACTCTAACCGTGCCCGATGTGCGCGTGTTAATGGCTCATTGCCATCTTACTGGTGGAGGGAGTCCGTCATTCGTTATTTTTGTTGATTCGTTTTGCGCCCTCACAGAGCCTGACTGCCAAGGGCCTTGTTACGCTAGTAGCTTGAATATATGGTACGACTATCACATTCTACAGGTGATGCCTGCTTCTCCTTGGCGACAACCCAAATTCCATTATGTACCGGTAGTTCATTATCCTGGATTCATCTGTTTCCTTATTCATCTCGTCATCATGGCCACTAAAGCAAATGTCTCATGAGCTTAGATTAGCCTTCGATGGCTCCCCGCTTCGAAAATTGAGCGAAATCGCCCTCGTAACTTTTCTGATTTAGGTCTACCTAAATTTACCATGCAGTTCTCCACTTCTTTTCGCCTCCCGATAGGATGCTGAAGAATTTTTGTGTATATCTTGGGTGAAACGTGAGTAGAGCTTGCCCAAAAATGTGCGGCCTAGAGCCCGTCCCCAGTGGCACACGCTGCCGAAGATGTTGCATCTGAACTTCTCTGGCTTCTAAGAGTCTCACACGCACCCACAACCCACCTTACTCTAGAGCTCAAAACCAATTTTACACAATTTCCCATAACAACTACCTCGGACGGTACCATCTCAAACTCTGCCAAAACAAGTGCACCAACAGACCAAGGAGAAACGTTCTCCTCCATGGTCATCCTGCTCAGTAACAAACTTCCAGACGAGTCGATTCGTGTCCCATTGCCTTACTACCGTCTAGCGCGATATCGACTGATTTCACTGCGCCATGTTCCTCAGCCATTAACTTGTGATTCACGTAGCCTCCTTCTATAAACCAAACTATGTTTCATTTGCCGCTGACACAATTAGGGCCCACCACCACAAATACCAAGCGCCAATCAATTCATGTCACTTTTCAGATACGCCATCTGTTTGGGCCCAGAGTCAGCAATCTCTCAAACCGAGAGAAAAGCTTCTGATTTCCTACTGACGTGCAAACCCACGGACCTATACGGCAGACTGACAGCCGCAACATTGCTCATGGTGACTGCTATTTTAACTTTTGTCTGGGCCATCTTCTCTTGGCCAAAACGCGAATGCGCGAACAATCTCAGGGTCATGCTACCCACATTGCGCGAACCAACCAATCAGAACGCTAGTTTTCCTGAACCTATTCGCCCCCTCCGGGTTTCCCGCGTACTACGCTCAGGTTCCTTTAATGAATGCCCCCGCTTCTTTCGAGCCATTTCTGTTGGCGGACGGCGAGAAAAAGTATGCTTCCTTAATCAGTGGGTCAAACTACTTGGTAGGATATCCTTTGAAAAGGATACTCAAGTTCCCAATGCCGCCATTTTCACCTTGAACCGAGAAGATCATACCGTCGGCAACATGCTGACGTGGTAAGTTGCGTTCATCCTGTGTTTAGGATGCATCACCCGTTGGAAGTCTCGTTGTTCAATCAATGTTATTGAAGTAGGGTGTCTAGTTTTGTGTGGAAATCAGTTCAAGCTGGAAAGCTGCGCGAGGCCTGCTGGGATCCCTCATGTCTGAATGACAGACATATATAGCATAAATGCGACACTGGAAAACACGAACTAGGACTTAAAGAGTTCAGACAAGCTTGCAACTCAGGCGGCAAGGCTGAAAATCGTCTAGATTCCAGCACTGGTGAACTAGGGGGTTCCGCTGCATTATCTGTAAGCGCTACAGCTGGTAAATCCGAAAGAAAATTTCACTACACAAGTCTCCAGGAATGGCTGTGCTAAGCTCTAAACAGAAAGATCATGTCTCATAACACATGCGGTCGCCAAGACCTAATTGTGTCATTATAAGACGGTTAAATAAACAGCCGTCTATTGTTAGCCGGATTTCACGGTTTATAGTCGTCACTTCAGAGAGGGTTGGTAAACAATAGGACAGTCTGCTGCTGGGCCACGGTTCGCTTTTGTCAAAAGAGCTTTGTCAGGCCACGTGAATAAGTTGCCAAGTTGACCGTGTTTTAAGGCAATCAGTGAACCAGTCGGTCAGTTTTACGACCAAACGACTTTACCAGTGCTGTATGTCGAAAAATCAACCAACCAATCAATCGTTCAGCTGTAGCACCCTTTCGGTGCTTAGCTGCCATGCCAGAAGAGAGAAGGACGAGGCCTGAGACACTCAGGGTGCCCAAGCCCAGACAGAAGCAGTCGAGATGCCGAGGTTGGTTTTGAACCGCGGACCTTCTGACTGACAGGAGCAGTCGAGATGCTGAGGTTGCTTTTGAACCGCGGACCTTCTGACCCGTGAGTTGGCAACTTAACTACTGAGATATTTCGAGCTCACTGTTCATCAGTTCAAAGTTCTTAACTACTGAGATATTTCGAGCTCACTGTTGTTCATCAGTTCAAAGTTCCCTGTTGGTTAGTGTGGATGACTGAAACTTACGACAGATTGGTTAGGGAGTTGTGTTACAGTTGAATCCGGATTTTGAGATCTTGATTTTGCGGTCTAGGACACCTCGATGGAATATACCTCTTGGGTGTCGTTCACAGATTTTATTTGCCTATGTGCGTTGAGGCTTGCCAGAATAATTGGGTCGACGTTGGGGGGATTAAGTGGATCTTGGGTTTGATACTTTTAAACCCAGAACATCTAGCTGATAACCACCTCGTGTCACCCCGTCTGAACAAAAACCGCTCTCCACACGCTTGTCAATTCTAAGCCCGCTTCTATTCAAGTTGGAATGCTTAGCGATTTTCACCGCCTCGTCCCAGTTCCCGTGGCATGGGTCTTAGTCGTTTCGAAATTTCCACATTTTCTAAATCTTGTCTGTCCAGTGCAAACCCGTCGATTGCCGAGTCTCTGACTATCGCCTGATATCCACTTACGTTTCTGGTTTCCTGGTTATCGACTTTGCTCGCCGATTCCGGTGTGCAGTTCCTTAGTTTTTTGACCCGTGTAAACCTTTGCGTAACCTCTACGTTTTATTTTGTATACACCTAATCCCATTGACCGGAAGGTGATCCTTCAACTGCACCAATACTGAGTGCGAAGTTTTTCTCCTCTCGATTGGTACTGTAAGGTTAGCCCTATTGGCTTCAGTTGTTCCTGTTTTGTATGGAATGACTGCTGTTCCGACCCACTCATTGTTGGGTCTTGGTAGTGTGACTAGTATCCATCTTAGTTGCCGCTTAATTGGATGCACTGGGTATGCCGTCTTAAATTTGCCTTTTTTTTTACCTCAAGTTGTGTTGTTGTTCGGTCGACCTCGGTTCATAGTATCGTTTACTAAACATCAGTAAAACCATACTAGCATATACTTCTTTTAAATGTGCTGACGCTCATGCATCCAAGCTATTGCCTTCAATGCATAGCTCCCTTCCCAACTCCCCACCTAACAGTCCACCTACAGTGCTGTATTTATGCACTAATTTATGAGCTCTCGCCTCCAATGCGCATCTACCTACCCCACCTCCCTTAATCATCGGTGAACGAAACCGTAGCTGCTACAACCACTGTATGACAAGTACGCGGTTATTACGGTTGATGATGAAAGGTTTAAAACTGCACAAGTGTCTGTTGTTTCCTTCACGCAGTTGTTTTTTATTTCCCATCTGAATAAGCGGTTGGACAAGGAACCGTAGGCCCCAACTCAGACCATGACATTGCAATGTGAAGTAAAAGCGTCTGCAGTCAAATTGTGTATCTCTCACTGAGACCCACGTGACCCATCCCAGTGGCAGGCGTGTTGTCATTTCCTAATGGGGCTGTCTAGCTAAAGTTTACCTGTCGTTTTATGCTGGGCTAGTTTGATGAAGGTCGCAAAGGAAGTTGATTCACTCCCACTGGTAGCGCCTTCGACATGGTGCTCAGATGTGCTAACTTTGGTGCTGTCCAAAGGCGTAGGCACCTTATTCTTGGTAGTTTTCCTGGTAGGCGCAGAACTTCTCCACACTAACCTTCCGCCATCTCCATTTGTTTACACTCTATGCCGGGGTTCTACTCCGTCAAGATTGTATAGCAATTAAACATCAATATGTATTGCCGATGTATTGCTGTCAGTGATGATGGTGAGGACTTAGCTCGGGTTTTGTCTAGATTTTCTTAAGCTAGCTTTTTCTGCGCAGTGACCACCGGAGGTTCACTGAGTTAAGGGAATGTCCAAGACAAATGAAGGAATACGTGGAATGTGTGCAACTATGTCATCCTGAACGTGCCACTGAGAACTGACATTCCTTGGGTGGTAGAATGCAACCGTCTGTTGGGTCCATATTTTCGACGGCTCTGAGCTCATTTTGATTCTGGACCGACCGCTGACAGATCAGTCACGTACTACTTGGGCTTACTGGCCATTGCAGCGTCTAACTAAGCAGCAAGGTGTAAAGCTCCGCGTAAAATCCCCGTGACTTGAGGCATTCGCCTCACCAGCTAGCGAATCCTGTCTGCCCCACGACAGAATTATAGTGCGTGCTTAAATCGGGTCTCTAATTGGGTACCTGACGGAGGGAAGCTCAGGTCAAAGATGCTGAGAAGCACCTCCGGACCCAATTTTCTCGGTTCGAGAGAATCCTTGCATTTGTTGGTATTTTCTGTAATTAGTTTGCATATTCATCCACCTAACTGGGTTAAGTTGAACGCTGCTGTGGCAAAGGTGTCTACTTAGGATGTCTAATATTGTTTTCACAAACCGGAACTGTAGCCTTCGCGCGAGTTTTCTGTGTACCGCCGATCGAATTGTTCCTCTATTTGTATGCTGCGGTGCTCCAGCTTGTTCCTCCTGGCCGGTTAGTGTTATGCATAATTCGAAGCTTGCGGGAGCAATGTCTCTGCTGGTTACACTTCGTGGAGTGAATTCGGGTTTCAAGTCGCGCAAAATGTCAGCGGGAATCTTCGCGAAATTTCTTCCGTTTGCCCGGTTCCCTGGTATTTCTGAACCATACGCTTTGGGACTTCTTGAATCGTTTCGTCCAGCCATTCGACTGCAGATGAATTGGTAGTGACAGAACCTTCCGAATACCTATTAGGTTAACTGAATTTTATCGCTTGTGTATGGAGTTCCACAGCCACAGAATAATGGTCCGAGTTTCAAGACTGTAATGTCAGTCGTGGATTTGTTCACCGGAAGCATTTTCGGCCAACTTCTGTGGACATAGACCTCGAGCAATAACTGGTGACCAGCAAGTGGTCGGTTTGCAGTCGAGACCAGCCCTTTGTCGTTTGAGGCCGGGACCGTAGGTTCTAACGGCTGTTCAGTCTTACGATTGACACCTACTTGTAGTGCACCATTCATGGGACCGTGAATCTGGGTATCCAGATCACGAATCGGGAGAGATTTGGCTTCGCCCATTCGAGTGACATTATTATGTCAGTTGACAATCATAGAACATCTGAAGTAGCCCTCTATTTCGGTATGCAGTTTGCACGTTCAAATTGCGAAGTGTTACTTCAGGAATTCTCACCCCCATGTATTCCTTTGAAACTTCACGTTAAGGAACTTGATTTTACCGATACGGTTACTCATCTGTGCAGCTGCGTAAGCCAGCAATGCACAGTAGCAGATGAAGTCAGTGCACGCAGGGGTCGCTGGGCCTTGTCCACAAAATGACTGTGAAGGCAGTCCTACTTTATAGTTATGAAACTCAAAATTTCCCGGTGTTTTATCACCGATATCTTCGTAGTACAGCATCCCTTAACTGGATGTAACTGGTATGTAAGGAAATCAACCTTAGGCGAATACCGGGACTCACTCGAGCAGCAGATAATTTTTATCTTGTTAAGTTGGTTGGAAAATGTGTTACATATGTACGAGCACCGGCTACCAACGAAAATTCCCTTTTCCATTTCGGAGCCCTGTTGACAAAAGAATCGTGGAAGCTACAGAGATGCCGGTATTATTGGGATTGCTGACACCGTTCTGAGAAAACCCAGCAGCACCTGAAAACAGTAAGTCCGTAAAGATCAGGCAGATTCCATCCCGGTTGATGCATTGGTCATGCTTTTAAGCTTCGACGACTTAAACTTACTGGCAACCAGCAATAATCTTTGATATTAAAATAGTATTGGACTATGTCAAACGCTGTGTATTATTTCGCTTTTTAACTAGCAAAGGCACTTTTGAGGTCTTCATTTCAACTAGTTTACCATCAAAAGTGAGATCCGACAGGTCTGCCCTCTCGCCATCCCTCTTCATCTTCGTAATCCCATCAAAAGTGAGATCCGACAGGTCTGCCATCCCTCTTCATCTTCGTAATTGAAGTGGTAATCGAGGGCCGCCGAACTTTTTACTGTCTCGGGCTTCCAGCTTCTTCCCAGAGGTTGCCTTGGTGACTACGAATGCGCGGATGACTTTGCTGCTTTGTTCAGATTTAGAATGTTATCATGCTTCACGGCAGTGAAGCATCGGTGTTGAACACTGACGTCATGCTGTCGATGATGATGATGATGATGTTATCATGAGACGAACGCTTGAAGGCCTCCAAAACCCTGATGTTCAAACAGCCTTTGACGAAAACCTTGTGGATCTGGAGTATGTAAACGACATCGTTGTCATCTTGGAAGGCGCAGGTGTTTCTGGATGAACTGACCAACATCATCCCGTCATTTGGTTGTAAGGTAATGCTCGTGGAAACGCAGTCACTGTGAACTGACCAACATCATCCCGTCATTTGGTATGTACGTTGCACCCACAAGTTGTAAGGTAATGCTCGTCGAAACGCAGTCACTGAACACGCCAATTACAATCCAGGGAGATCCAATGGAGGTTATGGAACGTTTAACGTATCTTGGAAGTCCTGTTAGTTCTGAGTGTAGTTGACAGATGAAAGTCGTGTTAGTTCTGAGTGTAATGTGACAGATGAGGTCAATGCACGAATATGCAAGGCCCGGACCGTGTTTGCTAATTTGAGGCACCTATGGCGTCAAAGTGGTGTATCGCTGAATCTCAAGGGACGTGTGTATCAAGCTGCATTCCGGGCTGTTTTATTGTACGGTTGGCCTGTTTGAGCAACGGATTTGAGACGTCCTCAGGTATTCGAGAATGGTTGTTTCAGAGCCATAGCTAGTGTGGTTTGGTGTCTTCGAATCCGTAACGAGACAATTAGGAAGCGAGTTTTTGGTTGTGCAACTGGTACTTCCATTTAAGAATGTATCCAGCATCAGAAGCTGCGTTGACTGGGATATGTGTTGCGTTTGTCGAAGAGAGTGTTGTTTTTCATGCCCAGCTCAGAGTGGCGGGAGCAAAGAAGTGGCCAACCCTTGAACTGGCAGAGGAGTATGAAGGAGATTACGAAACGTTTGGGTACTGTCGGACCTCGCCTTCCAGGATGAGGTCCGCGTGATCCTCACTGCGCCTGGCTAGAGACACCGTAAGATATGTCTGGCAACCGATTTCAGTGGCGTTCTTGTCTTCAGTTTCTACCCAGATTGCCTGAATGAGTGCCTGGAGGTATAGGCACCTCGGTAGGATTGTGGTAAGCTATCACTATCAGGAAGGTCAGATTCCGGAAAGCGACCACTGAATATCCGAAATCTAACGAGACTCTCAGTTCCGCTAGGTGCTGACCAGAGAGACAGCAATTTCTCAATGTACAGCGCTTCACAGCCTTGTATTAAACCGGAGAGAGAGACAGCAATTTCTCAATATACAGCGCTTCACAGCCTTGTATAAAAACGGCGACAGCACGACTCAGCGTTGATCGGGGTCAGACAACTCCCCCGCAATATGCAGCGCGTCACAGCCGCGTACTAAAGCCAGACCGCGTGAAACAGCATTGAACCAAGTTCAGACAGTGTCCATCCAATACATAACTTGAGGCCGTTGTATTTTCGCACTCGCACGCACTGACCCTCTCGCACTCGGTTGTTCGGAATATGGCTGTTGTGTTCCCTTCTGTGAGTCTTTTTTTCGGCATTAGGCACTGGAGCGGGTCAGCAGCAGATACCACAGAGTGGCGAATCAGCAGATATAACAGTTTGCAAACCTATTACCAAGCTCGGCGAACAGATAAACTAACATGTGATCAATCAACACAAGTTGTTTTTCCTGTGGTCTTTCCAGGGCCTCGCTGTAACTTCTTCTCAAGTCCATCTGTTCAGAGATTGAGAGCTACCCCTAATCCTTAACATGTTTATGACTGTTTCAGCCAAACTGAATAGTGGTTTTATTAAGGCTTTTGCCAACTAAGAACCTCGGCACACGAAATCTTAGCGCAAAATCCCTTTACAGATTGATTTGTTTTCTGCTGGGTCGTACTCAGCGGGTTCCCAGGTTATTCTGTTCCCCCAGGAACATATCCCTTCTAGGCTGTTACGTTGTTAGTCTTTTTTGGGTGGACTGATGTGCTGTTTGAGAAGGGTAGGTGAGTAGTTCAAAACTTAATAGTTGTTCATTTTTCCATATATCCCTGGATCTTCTAGCTAGTGAAGAGGCAAGGTGCTATGGGTGGACTTTCTGAAACCATGTGTCACGGGCCAGTTACAATCACTTTTCTGTTAGCTAGAACTTTGCTCCCAGTTCATTCAAAAATCCTGCGTTCAGGTTTCTCATCTATCTGCCCTGTCATTGAACCGTGAACGCCGTGCACACTTGATTTTTTTACTTCTAATGTCTCGCCACTAGTTCATTCCTCTTAATTTGGTACCCTTCTCCTTCATTTCGTCCCCTTCCCCTGTTTGTCAGTCAACTCCTCAAAGATCCAAGAGTATTATTTGCTGGATACAAAGCACCGCATCCACTGGAACATAAAATCGTCATTCGAGTGCAAACCTTACCACCAACTACACCCCTGGATGTATTTATTTCCGCTTTGAAAGACCTGGTCAGTGAAGTATCAAATATTGAAGAGCAGTTCAGAGTAAGCTTTCCATCCACATTTCAGCCACTGTCGTCCACTTTTAGATGGCAACCAAATGAGGACCTCGTCGCGATTCCTCCTGTACATAATTGTCTTTTCTGTATACGCAATAAAGAACTGCACGCTATGTTCTGTTCTCCTATGCTATAGCTCAGCGTGGACATTTATTGGCGCTAGTCATTTATATTTTCTAGGTTTTAAGACCAGTGTGCCTCGGCTGTTTTTTGTGTCTAGTTGTCAGCTGAGAAACCCCGTGGAACTATGAATTTGCATGGTACGTTGGCCACTCTGTTGCTAATTCCCGAAGAAGTGGAAGATGACAGCCAGTTTGTTAAAAATATTTTGAGCGTCGTCTTTCTTTGAAGATGGAGGGGTGGTTTAGGTGATTTCGAAGACCAGTCAGTTAGTGTCGGCCAGTAATGGAAAGGTATATTTTGTGTGTCAGAGTAACCGAACTAGTAGAATGCTTGCGTTCTCTTAAGGACATCCGTATGTTTAAAATACGCTGAGAATTACACGGTGACAATCATTTCCAGACAACTCCTTTTAGTACCTTGTCGATGGTTCGTTCTCATAGAACCAGGTGTTATTGAGACCACCTCGTTTCTTATTCAACGTTTCAGGTATTTTCATACTTATTTGAAACTTGGTATACTGATTGTTGAAAAAGACTATTGAGCACAACTGTTTTCGGGTTCTAGCTGAACTGAGTCACTTGGTCGCGTGTAGTGTGTTTAAGTGATGTGAACCGCCTCAAGTTTTGAAGATGTTGACTGCAGAGATATCGCTGGTTGGTCAGATCCAGATGGTGTTGAATCATTTGAAACTGTCTTCACTTTATTCTTTATTTTTGTTGATCATTGGCCAACTAATACCATCCTATACTGGCATCGGTCATGTGGCCGTTGATCTGTTCATCGAGTTTGGCAGTTAGCTTGCAAACGTTTTGTCTTCACAAATGGGGCGACATCGTCATCGCACAAAGACCGAAACGATCCTGTGGACAATGTGTTGAAATGCTCACGAGCGAGTTTGGCAGTTAGCTTGCAAACGTTTTGTCTTCACAAATGGGGCGACATCGTCAGTATGCGGTTGAGTGGGTATTTTTTGCCTGCCTGCGTTATTATCTGATTAATCTGTTCGCAATTTGTGTTGTCTTCTATGGTTCCCGTATTCCAGTGGGTATTCTCTTTTAGGGCTTTTCATGTCCTCGTTCTGATTGGTGGTTATCGGTTCATGTTTTATCGGGGTTTTCTTTGAATTTGGTTCGTTACCGCGATTCCTATTTTCGGTAGTTTGAAAGCTAATCTCTAAACTCGGCGAGCAGATCAGCAGCCACATTAGCATCCTCCAGTAAGCGCACCCGAGCTACCGGTTACAATCTCGTGTTGGTAACAATCATATTTTCGCCCTTGCTTCTGTCGTCCCGGTACTGCATGCGCATAGTGCGCACTCTCGTTCACGACCTCAAGAGTTTCGGTGAGAACGCCTAAAATCCTGTCACCAGCTCCGGTTCGCAACGCGAGCTCTCCGAACTGTTCAGTGATGACTGATGTAAACCCGAAGAATAACCAAACGACAACGTCTAAATACCGTCACTTGTCACATTCTGCAATGACGTTGCCTGTTCGGCTTATTTTCCAGCAGAATTTGATCTTGCTAGCGTTATTTTGTTAACCTGACGATGGTTTGTTTATTAGGACTTTGTCGACTATCATTTTACCGTTAGCTGGGCTCTCCGGCAGGTCCATTCTGCATGTTGTTACGACCATCACCATTGGTTATCGTGTCACTCCATTCTATCTTGTTCACGATTCACTCTATTTCAGATCCCTTGTAGTAATTACCCTGAAATCGCTGTGGGGCACAAGATAAGTGGTATATGTATTTTGTACTGATGCTTTTATCGTTTAGAATTGTAGAAATTATCGGTAATCAGTATATCTACCTGCGACAGTGTAGAATCTTAGGCTGTTTGGGCATTCGCATCAGTTTAATCGCAGTTTGACAAAATCCACTCACGGGTCTTCCAGTTTTGAACGACCGAAACGGACATTTCATTCATCAGTGTGCACTTTCTAGCTTTAAGCAGCTGAGGTGCATCGCGTGCTGCTGTACCGATGTACTTTTGTGGGTCGTTGAAGAAATAGAATTTCGAAGTTTCGAGTTCACAAAAAAGGTTCATACCCCTGAGCTGAGTTTGCGTGACATTAAAGAACCACCTCTCATGATATGGTGAAAAAGGTGCTCGATGTTAAATAGGTTGGAAACCACGAGGAACTAAAAATTATATATATATATATATAGCGGGATAATTCAGTTGGTGTCGAATGTATTATTGTATTATTGTATTGTATTATTGTATTTGAACTACAATAATTGGCCTTGGTTTGCAGAGGGAATGTTGCGAATACATGTCAATCCGAACTTGCTTCCATTTCAAGGCAGTATGCCTCGTAGAGGTCCCATCCTTACAAAAGTTGCCTGCTGAATCCCCGGGCCGTACTTAAACCTAATTTTCTTACGCATATGTAAGGAAACTAGGGTTGCTTCTTGCCAAAACATCGCTTATTTTTGTAGCTGGGGCTCTATTATTATATTATTGTATTGTATTATTGTATTTGAACTGCAATAATTGGCCTTGGTTTGCAGAGGGAATGTTGCTAATACATGTCAATCCGAACTTGCTTCCATTTCAAGGCAGTATGACTCGTAGAGGTCCCATCCTTACAAAAGTTGCCTGCTGAATCCCCGGGCCGTACTTAAACCTAATTTTCTTACGCATATGTAAGGAAACTAGGGTTGCTTCTTGCCAAAACATCGCTTATTTTTGTAGCTGGGGCTCTATGTCAGATGCCGTTTCAGTTTAACGAAATGTGTTAGTTGTATTGTGTCGGCCAGTATTCTCGTTGGAAACAGGGTACCCAACCCCACGTGACACTACATCAGGGCCTCTGTTTATCTCACTCCGACGGTCTCATTGAATACTTCAAGTGGTTTCGTAGTGAAATCTATCACCCAATGGACCGATATATGGATAAGAGGCCAATCAAATCGACCAATATCGCCCGCTTCTCCATAGTTTTGTTGTTGCCGTAGAACCGAGCCTCCGTAAAAGCGCATGTTTACATGTATGTTAACAATAACTCATTTGCTGATGGATAACACGGAGACAGGGGTTGTTGAAGCTAGTTCGGTGGACTACTTGTTCGCTTCGCTTGAATCACAGGACAGTAATAGACATGAGTTCGTTAGGTGATCTATCTTGTGATAGGCTTCTAGCATATCAGTATGAATGTGGACTTTGTCATCCCTGTAGATAACACTTTGGTAGCCGATTTTTGCCACACGTAGGTGCTGTTCGCATTTTTTCCTTTTAATTACCTAACTGCTTGGTTTCAAACAAACTGATTACCTTAGCCCATTCAGGAGGGACTTAAAGAGGCAAACTACTGGTGCCCCAGATAGTCTGAGTTCGGATTGAGAGCTTGTATAAGGATTCAGAAAATGGATCATCCTAGACGGAACGTCCTTGTTGACACGGATGGATCACGGCCGGGCACCTTATTTATGGCGTTAGGGTGAAAAAACTAGACAAGTAAGCGACCTACTGTCACCTTGTTTGATTCATCTCGACGCTCATTCCAAACGATTACCCAGGCAATCTGGATAGAAGTTCACAATATAAATGCTAAGGACATTGGTTTGCTGCTACATCTTGCACTGTCTCCAGCCAACCTGAGGTTCGTCACGAAGACCTCATCTTGGAAGACACTGCAACAACAAATAGTAAATTTCCGCAGTCTCCTTCATATCGATTTCCCGAAGGACGGAAGCAGGCCAAAACTTCTTGGTAGACGATGGTTGCGCATGCGGACCAAGCCACTATGATTGATCATTCTGGGTGTTTGTCGCGCCAAAAATACTAGCTGCACCACCCAAATGCACGTTTTATGATAAGAAAATAGTTGTTCAGTTGCAAAACTATTTCAGTGCTCAGGTGCTATGTCATCCGAAAGAAGCATGAGGGCTGAGATGCTGCCAGGTTTGCGAATTTTTTGCGCTATACAACGTCTTTAGCATTTCTGAGACATTGGTGGTCGAAGAAGGTTGTCCGTCCTCAGAGTCCTAGTCTAAGAAATATACAAAACAACTCGTAGTGTAGCCGACACACGAGACCCAGTGGTACGCCACTGTGACAGTACGAGTGACTCAACTTTGCGATTGTGGTTCTAGCATTTGATATCCGTGAACTTCCATCTACGCCGCAAACATGTGTAATAGTCACCGTGACGCCCAGCGTTTCTCCTTGAGTTGTGAGGGATATGTTCAAAGACTACATTTCTGAAACTTGGTTTTGTGACTAATGGACCCTTTATGCATGTCTGAAGATGGTATGATGATTGCTAGTTTGTCCAATGGTGCTTGTGTTTTCTGCTCGTCTTTAAAGATACGCCCTGCATACTACAGGTAGACAAGCTATAGGGATGGGAGACTATCCAGAATATGCAACAAATCACAAGTCTACATGATCAACTACTGGTTATCCGAGTCCGGCTTAAAGCTCAGTATTCCACGCAAGTTATAGTTGTTTTAGTCAGTGCATTGTAAACATAAAGGTTGTCTCACGCAAGCTACTGAAAAGCCTACCCGGAGCCGAACTGTCCACAATCGGGCGAACTTTAACATCCAATACTGGGTCCGGAACGGTGTCCCGGGAGATTGTTTACCGATAAAAATACTGTGATTTTGTTTGATGAGTTTCCAGGAGCGAATCGAAATGCAAGGTCAACACGTTGTGTCAGAGGGACAACCCCAATGGATGATCTTGCCGAGTGGTATGAGTCACACATCGCCTGCACCACTCCAAGTGTCCGAGCACAGCAAGAATGCTGCGAACTATCGTTTTTTTTTAGAATCAACTGTGATGACACCTTCCCACTTGCCCAATTCAATCTACAATCGGAAGCCCATCAGGTTACAATGTTCCGGCGTATGGTGGAACTGGCAGCACCTGCTGTTGTCAACGCCTTGACGTTCAAACCGACAGAAGACTAATGGCCCGCTCACATCTGTTACCAAGTTTTGGACGGTTCCAATTCTTTCAGTGGGACCAGAAGACTGACGAGTCCATCGATCAGTACGTTCTGCCGCCGAAATATACGACAAAATCGAGGGATAAAATGATCCTCACAATTCGAGAAGAAATTGTTAGCAAGAGAGTTCTGAAATGCCGCTGGTTGTCTTTGGACCGATGTATCCATGGAAGCTGCAGTGAGGTAGCAGCTGAGTCTCATGAGACGTTTGGCTACAAGTGATCTCAATACTGACCTAAATACTGTTGAATCGAAAGATGCTGATAGATGAAGCTACTGCGGAACAAAGCACGTTAAGGGTATGGAGAAGAAGAAGAAGAAGAAGAAGAAGAAGAAGAAGAAGGGAAAAGAGGTGCACTGGTGTTTCGAGTAAACGAAAGTAAAGGTTTATTGGTTTTCGAATTTCTCTCTCAGAACTAACGGTGTTTGAATACGTCAGATGCTTTAGCTGACACAGCTATTGCTAACTTAGGGTGTGTTTGAACCCATGTTTAGGCTTTTCTCGATCTTTACCCGTGGATGCTTCATTGTCTTGGAGTGAATATACTGGATGGTACAGTACTCCCTCTTTATTAGAGATCCTAGGAAACACATGGAGGAGAGAAGACTCTTTGCGGGTCCGAATTTTTCATATTGTGAACACAGCATTCCCTCGGTTGTTGGTCTTTGGACGCGTGTTTCCATATCAAAATTTTTACACACGTTGGGATTCATGTCATCTGACTGGAACTGGTGGTGGCATGAATTCGAATGAGACGTTCCTCTCTTTTATCTCATATTCTTCTGTTACCCTTTCGCAATCGTCACTTGCATTCAATTTTTATGTTTGTGATCATGCTCTTCAAAAATAAATGACAATAACGATTTTTGTTTCTTGGTTTAATTTTTAATATGAATCCGTTTTGCTGACAAACTTAAGTATTCCAACAATTAGCCGGGTTAGCGGATTCGAAACTCCCTGGAGTTTTGTGAGATTCGTACCACTGATGTTTCCCACTAAAGATGAAACAGCTTGCAGTGCCTCGGCTTTTGAGCGTAGACTGGCTTCACCTGCAGAATAAGCGAAGTAAGCTTGGTTTTACGCGACCAAAGCACGACAAGAAACGCATAAATGTCGTGGACCACAGTTTTCCTAATGCCTTCTTAACACCATGGACCCGAGTCTGGGTAGCCGCTTGATAGCCTGATGCGCTTAGCCAAACCAGAAAGCCAATGAACGTGCGAATCAGCTGATCTGTTGAACACTGACGCGTACATGCGTGTCACGTGCAGCCGAAAACGGGCTGTTTATAAAGCTCACGTGGAAAGCTCTAGGCGGGCCAAAAAGTGGTAAAAATAGAACTCATCTGTCAAGGGTAAGTGAAAAGCAACCAATTAAATCTATCTCAACGAAAACGGCTATTCCATTGGAAGTTGTATAGTCGGAGCTGGTTCTCCTATTAATAAAGATACTTGTAGCCGAACGCAGCTCACATCATCATCAACAACGTGGTATTACTGCCGGCTCCTTCGCACAACTTCTTAATTCGAAGGAATCTAACTTGTGTTCTCTAGCAAAACACAGCGAATGAGTCGAAATCTTTCGGATTCCTACTTAGTTACCTGTTGCCAACTTTGTGTATGGTTGACAATAAAGATACCAGACATCAGTGGCTCAAGAACGTAAAATAGGCTGGTCGGTGAAATCGAGAACATCTCTCCGGAATTAGAGAGGCAGATCTAGCAGCAACTTAATCGGCCTAAAGATACATCAAGGAAATCTTGCGTTAAAAATATTTCATTCATATGCTGACAATATAATTCACTCAGTGATCATTTCTATTTTCGTTAGTTCGTGTATAGGTGTGTGGCGGTTAGAATATAGGTTTTTCACATCCCTGTTTCGGGTACAACATGCTTCGAAGTATGAATCAAACCAAGTGTTCCATATTGAGGCTTTTTTTTACAAAGATGAGTATCGTACTATGTGAGTGTTTGTTGCTGCCTCTTGGTCTAGCAGCAGTACATAAAGGTTGTGACGGCTTCACCTGAATTTTAATTGATGTGTATCAACTGGGCAAACCCTAAAGACAGTTGTCAGATCTCATCTTCTGGATCAGTAAGAACGAATTGGTGATGTACCAACCCATAGATATGAAAAACCAGTTATTATCGAGGATCCAGTAGGTTTGAGTTGTCGTGTGTTGGTTTTTATTTGTCACGACGAATGTTTCTGTGCACCAAATCGACTATAGTCAAGTTATGATCCAGCTTGAGCTTGCTGGTGTCGTAGAACTGTGTGGCAGCGGCAAAAGTGACAGACTCTTGGCATGACAGTTGACTGGCAGTTTTAGCAGACGACACTTGGAGTTGCTGATGTGACATTTCGGTACCCACAAAGTAGTTCCTGTTCGCTTTCGGGGTGGGGAGGGGGCGGAAAACGTGTACAAAACGTGCTTCCTTGAAGCATGTTTCTTGTTGAAAGGCGAACACTTAAAATGTAGCTTAATAGTCGGATCACTTAGTAAAAAGTACAAACTAACGTGCGACATACTGTCACTGTGCTGACAGCAATTGACTTTCAGTATATATGCCTTATTTTGGTAGTTGTTTATTTGTTAAAGTGACACGGAAATGAAGTGCTTGTTTATAGTGATTCGTCGGATATATTTATATTGTACCCAAAACATGGCTCCCGTATCACTAAACGAGTTGTTTGTTTTGGCTTATGTGTGGATCTTAGATACGGCCCTGTTAGTGCTCTAGTTGTGACGTAATTAAGTTGATTATCAGAAGGTAACAAGCACTAACAAATGTCTGTCTTACTAGAATGTAATGAATACAACAGTTAGGCGCACTTGATAAAAATAGATACAGTGCGAAAAATATAAGCCAAAAAGTGACTTATCGTTTGAAAACAATTGTTGAGAGTTCTGAGTGCAGTTCCGGACGCGGGGCGTGTCTTCTCTGTGGTGTAGCTGCTACACGTGTTCCGCAGTTGTCCGGGGAGACTTGCGGAGCTTTGTTGACTTCCTGTCCCGTGCGCGCGAGTGTGTGTTGAGCCTAGTTGTATGCGTATTTATTGTATGCAGTGTGAAGAGAGGCGTGTCCTTTGTGTTTGATACTCGCACGAACATGAATGCAACTTGACCTGATGTGTTGAAGTTCATAAGCCTGGCGCGTTACGCAAGTGGGAACCGCGTAAACAAAAATGGATGAGAATTTGTGGTGTACAGGTTGTCGGCTAAGGTTGCAAGTGGGACAGGAATTGTCACGTGGTTTGTGACGTGTGATCTAGTGTGTGACCTCTACAGCCCCCACTGTTAAAAGCCGGTAGTTGTGGCAGTCATGTTTTTGAGTGAAGGTTAGGTTACATCCGTCCGTGCGTCATCATTCATTTTCCTGAGTGATTCGACCACGTCCGACCAATGATCCATCCAGACCACGTGCCTCCGTATTTCTTCATCGTATCTTCGGAGGAACATCTGTTTGTGCTGGATTGATTCTACCACACTGATCCAGTGTTGGTATCTTAAGATAGCAGTTTAGCGAAATGATGAAGTTAAACACCGTGCTTCTCACACACTGACGGAAATAAATCATTGTTAGCCTTCTGTGCCTCCACAACCACTGAAACCGTCCCTTATCGTCACATTCAGGTACAGTCAATGATGGTGGCTCATAGGTTGTCCCAGTAATCAGCTCGGTTCATAGGTCGTTAGGGGACCTTAAAATATCATTCGATATTCCATCCTGAAGGTGGAGCCAACGTATTCTGACATGCCGAAAAACACTGTATGGCCGTCTCGTCTACGTTGAGGAATCATTATTGTTTATCTCACGAATCTCTAGACAGATGGAAACCGTGACTTTCCGGTTCGCAGTTGAGCACTGAACTATTCGCTTGATCAGTAGATAGGAGTTTGACCAACAGTACCGCTGACCTCACGTGACGACACCATCGAAGAAACACTAAGGTGTCGTACGTTGGACGTTCCGACAAACTCACTTGTTTGACTTCAAAATAGCATCCATATGGGTCTGGAAAATTCCATGATGGAAGGTGACAGAACCGACAGAGACTGTCATTTCAGCAGTAATCAACACCGTTCGCTTTTGATTATTTTTCGTGGATTAAGCCTTTGTGAAACAATTAAGACGACTTTTATAGTGTCTAATTAAAGGGAATTAAGTGGCCAGTCCCAGATACACAGATGGACGCTTTTGGACGTACTGATGGTCATTCATGCTTTTTTAAGGAGTATCCAATTCAGTGGAGAAGGATTTTAGGCAATTCGCCGATGACTTCCCTCACTGAAAAAAAATACTGTTTTTGGTCAGTTCGTTCTTCTTGGAGCTCTCCAAGTGTACCAATGCAATCACTGACTGTGAAAGAGCGATCACCGTGATTTATTACAACTGAGAGCACTTCCATTCGCCACTGAAACGTTTTTGGTGGTCACATCAAGATCACCAGTCAATCCGTTCCCTGTGTTCAGGTAATTCCAGGTTAAAAACACGAATTACAAAGTAACTGCCGAAAGCTACACTTCATTACGTCAATCCAGACGTTTTTGGTCATCCTTTAGGAACGTCAGAACACATGTGGTTTAAAAGGAATCATTCAGTCCCTTGGCATTTAGGTGTTAGGACGTATGCTGTACCCTTTCAACTGGCAGAGTACCAAGTCTCTGTGGAAGGCGGCAGCTAGACACCGTGATTGTGTGCCGGTAGCATGCAAACAACGTGTACGTCATTGATAAGACAGCTGTTTGATTCCGGGTTCCCATTAATAAGAGTTTCAGTTGCAGGGCAGATTCCGCTGCCGAACAACAAAACAAGGCGTATCAAGGAGACGGAGGCGTTCGTACCATCCGTGAAGGCATTCCGCTCTTGGTTCTGGACATGCGTGAACATGCCTGGGAACTGCAATGTTGGTTGGGCCAACGTGGTTGTGTTGGCGCTGTCTGGCGTGCTTCACAGCCCTAGTACAAAGATGCCAAGTTCATTTATTGTTCACCGTCCTACAGCACAGCCGTTTTTCGTAAAGGCCTGAGCGAATTACTAGTAGTGGTAGTGGTGGTGATACTACTGATGGAGAGGCATGAGAGTAGTATGGCTTCTTGTAAATTCGCTTTGCGTCTCTTGAAAAGGGATATCTATTGCGGAATTTGTGGAGTCGCTTCGTAGCATTTGCTTGGATTTCAGCAACAGTCAATGGATATCCAGGAAAATTCAGGAAGATGGGTTCAAGAGAATATGGATGTTCAGTTTTTGTAAGATGCATATGGGAGTTTTACTCCCCTTTCCTATAGTCTGTAACTGGTCAGTTGGCATTTTCTAATTAATAACTCCGCAGCGAAGGCCTTTTTCCATTCAGCAGTAGTTTACTAGCAAACCGGTAACTCGGACTGAAAGGTAGCCTACTCCAGCGTGACCACAGTTGAGCAGTTTGTCGTTTTGTAGTGGGAACCGGCTTCCTCTGAATGAAATGGCTGGGCGTCCTATTTTTCAACTCCAAGTTTTTGAGCTAGAGAGTTCAGGTGCCACTCAGCTGGGTGGAATGGATGAAATTAGCTCATTTGCTCATCGTACGGAAATT